GTATTTCACAATAAATAAAGCTGTCATCAATCTGTGTGTAGGTATTTGTATAAACATAAGTTTTTATTTATCTGATACACACTGTTGAGTTTTAAGAGTACCTTTTATATTCCACATAAAGACTTTTGTCTGATAAGTGGTTTGCAAATATTTCCTCTCAGTTTTAGCTTGTCTTTTCATTTTCTTAATGAGATTTGTGGCTTTCTTTTCTTTCTTTCTTTCCTTCTTTCTTTCTTTCTTTCTTTTTTCTTTCTTTCTTTCTTTCTTTTTTCTTTCTTTCTTTCTTTCTTTCTTTCTTTCTTTCTTTCTTTCTTTCTTTCTTTCTTCTTTCTTTCTTGTTTCTTTCTTTCTTTCTTGTTTCTTTCTTTCTTTCTTGTTTCTTTCTTTCTTTCTTGTTTCTTTCTTTCTTTCTTGTTTCTTTCTTTCTTTCTTTCCTTCTTTCTTTTTTTTTTGTGTGTGTGCAAAAAGTTTTCAATTTTAATGCAGTTTAAGTTGCCAGTGTTTTAAGGATTTTGTCTTTGCTGTCATATGTAAGAATCCTTTGCCTTGCCCTAGATCTGGGAGTTTTCTCCTATGTTTTCTTCTAACAATTTAATAGTTTTTTATGTTTTACATTTTAATCATAGTCTATTTTTATTGTAAAGAAATATTTAATTTTATCATCCAGATTAGTATCTTTATTTCCTGTGTTCTACAGTTCTTTTGTTCTGTTTTATAGTCTTTCCCCATTTGGAATTAATTGTCATATTTCATTTTCTATTAGCCTCTTGGTTATTTTGGCTATATCTTCTTTTTTGCCAACTCTACTGGTTACCCAAGAGATTATAATGTGCATCTTTAAAATGTTGAACACAAATAGAAATTATTTAATTTATGTTTACTGATGTGAAAATACTTCATAGATAATTGAATGACTTTATGATATTTAATCTCTTCCTGACTAATCTTCTATTGTGGTATATTTTAATTTTCTAGGTATTGTTAAGTAAAAATCCACTACTATAATTTTATATGGCCAATATTTATTTAGATTTATCATTTTCACTCTAATTTAGTTATTTCTTCTGATGCTGAGCTTGTATCTGTGATCATTATCATTCTTCCTAAAGAACATCTTTAGTGATTTATTCTAGTTCTGCTATTGGTGAATTTTCTCAACTCAGTTCATCTGAAAATGTATTTATTGAACTATTTTGGGAAAATTTTTTTGTGGAAAAAAATAATTCCATATTGGCAGTTATATTTGTCTTCACTTTACAAAATTTTGTAATTTTGATTTTTCACTCCCATGCTTCTGTTGAAAAGTCCACTATGCTCTTTTGAAACAATGTGTCTTTTCTCTGGCTCATATTAAATTTGTCTCTTGTTTGATTATCACTGTTTGACGATGATGCACGCAGTTACAATTATGTTCTTATTTATCTTGTTTTGGGTTTATAGGGTTATCTGAGTCTACTGTTTGGTATAAATATTTAATTTGAAAAATTATCATAATCTCTTTAATATTTGGTTTTCCACTATTCTCTTTGCATTCTCCTCCTGGGACTCCTATTACATTTCCATATTTTTCTTCTCAGAGTTTGCAAATATCTGCTGAAATACTCAACCTTGTTTTTTTATTTGTTTGAATATATAAAAGATCATTTTTTAAATGTATGTGTCTGATAATTCTACTCTGTGGATCTTCAGTTTATCTCTTTTGAATGTCGGTTGTTTCTTTGGATTTGATTACAATATCTTTACTCTTATTATACTTTTATATTTCTGACCTAACGCAGGAAAATATATATGAACCACCTGTAAAGATAACTTGAGGCCAAGGATCATGTTACCCTCTATTCAAACTGATTTATCATCCTGTAGATGGACTAATGGCATTATTTGACCCACGTCATCTTAATCCAATTGACTGAAATGATTTCAGGCTGAGCTTTAGTACCTGTAAAGACAGATCTATTTTTGTTTCATCATAGCTCTTAACCTAAATCCTAGAGATTTTATAAGGCCATTTCTGTCTTTAAAAGATGCCAACCAACAATTTTTGTCCCTTCATTCTCAGGCAGCCTCAAAAGATTTAGTCTTCTTCTCAGGATGTTGTCAGTCTTCAAATCCTAGAGTCAATCACTTTCTAGAGTCCTGTTTAAAAAATCCTAATTCTCAATTCTCAATGACTCAGTAGCTCTTTGAACCCTGAAAAACATTTTGATCAACTTTTCTTGCTGATCTCATTACAATGGTTTGAATAACTTAGAATAAAATTATCCATTATATGTCATTCATATAATGGTTAAATTAAAACGAAACAAAACAAAAACTTCTTTTAGTATTATGTTAGCTTCAATAATTCTCATTCAGTACAAAGTGCTATTACTGTTGAGAAATGCTCTCATAATTTTAATAGCTCTCCCATCATTAGAAGATTAAGGATGGCACTACTTTATTTTGTCAGTAACTTTCAGCAACTGTGAAATATGCAATTTATTTTGATTTCAACTGTCAATTGTAATTTTAAAAAATAAGTGAAGCCAACACCATCCCAATAATAATAGCACTAAAAAATTTTATTTTTTTCAAGAGAGGATGAAATGCATTAATCCCAGTCTAAGCACAAAGATTCTAATCAGTTTGCAAAAATTGCAGCTGTGTGTTTCAATTTATATTTCTAAAACATCTTATTGTCTTCTTCCTTTTTCAATTTAGACATATCCCAAGTTGAATATTCTACAGGAGTTCCAAAAAAAAAAAAATCTCAATTACCTAGGATGCCTAGTATCCTATGCCTAGTATGTTTAAATTTTACATTTAAAGCAACACATTAGTTTAATACAGTGATAATTCTATAAAGGAAAAACATGAAAATAATTTCATATTGGACATAAGTTGGAATTTAAATGTAGTATTATATATATATATATATTCAAAGTAAGAAGAAAGTATATCTGCTTATTTTGAATATGTAATTTCTACTAAACTTTTGGTTTATAACAGACTTCCTAGTCTTTGTAAATTTATCTGATTTGTTAAGGCTTATAACTGGTGTATTTGTTTATTTGGCTTTGGTTTTGGATTTGTTTCTTTTAGTAGGAGAAGAAAAATTCTTTTTCAGAAGTGTGTCATTAATATTTGTCTATCTGGTCCTTGTTTTTATTTATTCTAAAACTATTTTCAGATTACTTTCTAAGTTTAATAAAACATTGCTCTCCCTTTTTTTCTATTTGCACCCAAATATACTTTTTTTTGAAAGATGCATTGTCCAAAAGTTATTTCTTATTCTCTACTGCTTTCAGGTCAGGATATCACCTTCATATTTAGTATTGTTTTAACCCCCATGTTTCAGCATGAACAATATTTGTAATAAAATACTGGGCCTCCCTGAACATATTACTGTAAGCCAGCAGGTTCTCCTGATTTATTTTTAGGGTATGATGGAGATAAGACTGTAGTTTAATTTCCTCATCCAAAGAAACTTCATATTTGTGATAACATTTTTATTAACTTAATAAAGAATGACAGGTGGTCAAGGTTAACTATTGGTCATAACATTTTTCATTACTGATATATTACTAGAGGATTTGCTCAAAATTAACTTGACTAGATCAGATGACATTGAAATAAATATTTTAAATATTTTGTTTTAATAAAATAATTAATTATTCTGGAGTATTAACTAAACTCTATCATCAGACATTCAAAGTGGTAAACACTTTTTTCTTTACATGTGAATAATCAGGCATGTTGTATGCCATAAATTAATATAGTCTCTCAGTAAAAAGTTGCTTTACACTGACTTTATCAGATGCTGCATATTTACCCTCATATAAAAGTCTTTCATGGCCAATGGGATGATCAATACTATTAAATGGAAAAAATATACCTTAAGAAACCTACATATATAAATGTTTATACTTGTGTGTACATATACACACAGATATAATTATGTATATAAAACATGCATATATATATCATATAATCTAACCATGTAGTTATACAAAGTTCTCATGAGAAATAAGAATATAATTTCTAATCAATGTGCACACCTGCATATTTGAGTAAAACGTGTGCAGTTTTAAGTTTTCTTTCTTAGAAAATGATGAAAATTGGCAAAGACAAAGCAAAGCAGTAATGGCAGTTGAATTTATCATTGTCATGTCTGTATTCTTTCTCTTTGAACACTCAGAGATAAATTATTTTCCTTTCTCTGTATGAATTCCAGAGTGACTTTAACCTGGTTTTAGTATCAAAACAAAACTAAATAATGGACCATCATAATATTTAGAAAACTATCAGAAGGCCAGTCAGCCTGTGAATCTTTACACAATCAAACAGCCTTGTTTCCAATTATCTTTCCAAATCTTAGGATTATCTCTCTGTAGATCTCTCTGTAGATCAGATATATCTCTCCATATATATGGTTGACTCTCAGCTCCAGAATTCAGAAGGCAATCCTTTTAACTACCTACTCAGACTCATTAGAATTAAAGTCTAAAATTTCCAGAAGAGAAAACTAGATTATTTCAATTTGAATCAGTGTCAAATCAATCAAATTCAAGATGACCTGGCCATGTAAATTAAAAAAAAAAAAATAATAAGTCACTGTAGCCCAATTCCATTCAGTTATAAGGAACAGTTCACATAGAAGATGGAGTGTGTATGGGGCTGGGGAGACACAAAGAGATATGTTTATAATACTTTGGTTAGTTAATAAAAACTCCTGTGTTCTATTTATGAAGAAATCATTAGCTTCAATATTTATTTTTTATTTTAAAGTCACCATTTATAATTGTCCTTTCCTTAAGTCTTGGCTAGTTCTTGCAAGGAAGACTTCTTGTGAATTATATTAGCACCCAGTATAATTCAATTTAAAGAATAGATAATGCTACGTGCACTTTTACCAGTTCATTCAGTAGGCTAAGTCTATAGACATGTTTATGTTTATATATAAATCTTAATAATATCTACAAAAGTTTATTTTTTTATTTAAATCACCTTCTTATTTTCAGGTATTTTTGGCTGAATACACAGGACCTCTGATTATATATCTCCTCTTTTATTTGAGGATCCCATATATATATGATATGAAAGAGAGTTCTAGAAGATTCTGTCACCCAGTGGTACAGTAAGTAATACATTTAGTACCTATAGATGAAGAAGGAGATAAACTGGGACACAGATATAATTTTAAAGTTTGTTTATAAAAAAAATTAAAGTGGATTACATTTAAGAAACTATTTCTTAAGTAACATTAAATAATGTATGCACACCAACTTGCAAATTTATATACAAAGAACTAAGTATACCTTAAAGTTGAGGTAATATAAGTTCATAATGATCACAGTAAAAGAAATCTGGAAATTGAGAAATATCACAAGAAGCTTAAAATTATAAAGTTGTAAGGTCATATATAAAGAGCTCAAGATATAAAACTAAATAAAATAAAATAAAATAAAATACGTACTTCTCATGGGCAACATTAATAGGAAAGAAACAATGGTTTTATAAGTTACCTTTAGTAAGTCAAAATCCAAGATAAATTTTACTTTAAAGTTAAAAGTAAAAGTAAGGTACAGAAAAAGTTGAGGGCAATTATCACAACAGAATATATAGCATACTGTGAGAATAATCTCTCTCTCTCTCTCCCTCAGCTTACCAAATTAAAGATTATGAGAATAATTATTATTCAAGATGCTACACTGAGATGTTGTTAGCAATTTAAAAAAAAAAAAGAACCTGATTTAATGACTAAGCTCTAAGTGAATTAAGAAACAAAATTTAGGTCTTAGGGATACTAGAAGATAGAGAGTGATTTGATTCCTGACTTTCTCATCTTGAATCAAACTTTCCCTTACCCTTAATATCTGTACCACAGCTAAACTGCCCTTTCTTGTCCGTGATACCTACCATGTTCCCTTTCATGCAAGGGCATTTACACATGCTATCCTTCTTCCTCCATCCTGATTACCTCTTTCTTCTCTCTTATGTAAACTTCGTGTAGAAGTTCCGTACATCTTACTCATGGTAGCCATTCCTACTCCTTCCAATGCAAATATGCCAGTGAAATATTTTTGAATATTATGATTGGAAAAAAGAATTGTACCCAAACTTATTTATGGATGTTCAATTAGTTTAGCACTGCACAGTGAAAGAGTTAATATTTGAAGGGAAGTCAACCATAATTAAATAGAAATATTTGGAATGAAATCAAACATGGTGAGTTTACCAATACTGTGTGAAGTGACATATATCCAAATAATAAGATAGAACTGTATGTACTATGCTGGTATAACATCAGAAAAATAAGTAAACTAATTCAACCATTGCATGAACTAAAATTTCTCATTTAGTGCTCTGCTACATAGCTGGGCATAACTTCACTTTATGTTTTCTTACAAAGTGGAAAATTTTATCACTCAAGTATTTACTCCTACAAAGAACCAACAAGGTAGGAGAGATACTGATTCCCATATCAGTCCTTTAAACCTACAAGGCTTAAACCTTCTCCTAAATCAGAACCTTTCCTTTTGCTTGTCTGTCTAGAAAGCTCTTCCACTGGATATCCACACTTTATTCTCTCATTTCTTGCAGAATTTGTCTATTATTTAGAGATATACAAACACTGAACATGTCTCTCCCCTAATAGGTGCACACTTATATTTTTTATGAATTAATGAATAATAATAAATCCCCTAATGATTTAGGCAGGTTTGTTTGTGTTTATTTATTTGTTTTCCCAAAAGTCACTATTATTATTAACCAGAAATCATTGATTTATTCTGTTAAAATAGACTCCCGTAAAGACTCGATGTTTGATTGTATATAGAGTAAATGACATGCTGATTTTTATGTTCAAACTTTATTGGGTTAAGTGTGCAATTTTTTATCTATATTGATTTTGTTGAATAGCAACCACAGTTTTCAAAGTTTTATATTTTTAACAAAATCAGTACTGATTTTAACAGAAATATATTTTAAGAATAAGCAAGAAAATATACTTCTGTAAATCATGTCTGACATTTACTTTTTTTATTTTATTATCTTATGTTAATCACCATGCATTACATCATTAAACACCCAGTTCTCCATTCAATACGTTCCCTCTTTAATACCCATCACCAAGCTAACCTATCCCCCCAACCCCCTCCCCTCTAGAACCCTCATTTTGTTTCTCAGAGTCCATAGTCTCTCATGGTTCGTCTCCCCCTCCGATTTTCCCCACTTCATTTTTCCCTTCCTGCTATCTTCTTTTTTTTTAACATATAATGTATTATTTGTTTCAGAGGTACAGGTCTCTGATTCAACAGTCTTACACAATTCACAGCGCTCATCATAGCACATACCCTCCCCAATGTCTATCACCCAGCCACCCCACCCCCCCCACCCCCGCCACTCTCACAACAGACACATGACATCTACTTTTAAAATAATAGTTTTAGGGATGCCTGGGTGGCTCAGTCAGTTAAGCTGCTGCCTTCAGCTCAGGTCATGATCCCAGGGTCCTGGGATTGAGTCCCACATTGGGCTCCTTGCTCGGTGGGGAGCCTGCTTCTCCCTCTGCCTGCCTCTCCCCCTGCTTGTGTTCTGTCTTTCTCTCTGACAAATAAATAAATAAATAAATCTTAAAAAAAAAATAATAGTTTTATAAATGGCAACAAGAGTTGCTCAATTAGAAAAACAAAAAACAAAAACAAACACACAAAGAGACAAACAAAATATTACAATCTGTTAGGTAGGCAAAAACCAAACATAAAACAAACTAAACAAAACAAAAGCTGCACTGCCTCCATAAAAAATGAAATTCAAACCTTTTCAACGTATGGTTCTTGCTAAAAGACAACCAGACAATGAAAAAGTTATTCTGAATATTATAAAATGTCAAATGGATTCTAAGTGGATTTTGGGTATTTTTAAAACTTGTAAGTTTTCCCCTCTGGCAACCATCAGTTTGTTCTCTGTATTTATAGGTCTGATTCTGTTTTTTTGTGTGTTTATTCATCTTTTTTTTTTTAGATTCCACAAGAGTGAAATCATATGGTATTTGTCTTTCTCAATCTGACTTATTTCACTTAGCATAATACCCTCTAGGCCCATCCATGTTGTCTCCAATGACAGAGGAGAGAAGAGTGAGGGATCAGGCAAAATGGGTGAAGGGGAATTGGAGATACAGGCTTCCAGCTATGGAATAAATACATTACAGGAGTAAAAGGCACAGCATAAAGAATGCAGTCAATGATATTATAATAGCATTGTATGATGATAGATGACAGTTACAACTGTGGGGAGCATAGCATAATGTAAAACTTGTTAAATCACCATGTTATACACATGAAATTAATATAATATTGTGTGTCAGGTATACAAAAAAAAACTTGTACATTTTCTGCTTCATTCATGAGGCATTTTGATATAAGTACATTTATAATTATTATATATTTATTTCTCGGGTAGGGGTGAACATATAGATTGTGACTGGTATTATAAGGTATTTTGAATGTCGCCAAAAGTAAATTTATAGAGACTGTTGTGACAATACTGTTATTGTGAAATAAATTTAGAAAATTTCTAGGATAAAAATATTAAAATAAACATTAGTTTTTTTATTGGAAATATTTCCTAATAAATATAATATTGTAGTCAACTAACAAAAAATGTCTTATCTGTAAAGGCAAGCCAGACCTTTAGAAGGAAACTTAATATGTTCATGTTTTATTTTCTTTCTAGCTTGGCTTGCTTCTGTCATTGCATACACTATATCCGATATCTTTTGGAAACCTTATTTGTTCATAAAGTTTCTGCAGGACATACACCATTGAAAAATTTGATAAAGGTGGGGATTGATATGTTTTGTAATTTTAATTATTATTGAGAAATTTTGTGTATTGGGTCATCCATAAAATGATACAAAATCATGGTTATTTTCCTCACGCTTAGAATTTTCTGTTCAACTGTGCCAGCATATCTTAAGCATCCACTCCTGAGATGCCTCTTCCTGAGTGACCTGTTTCACTGGAGCTGTGTTCAACCAATAACCCTACATAAAAGATTTGCCATGTCCTTTTGTTACAAGCCATGTATCCTCTGGTATCTTTAATTTTGGAAATACTTAGCATTGAATTCAGATTGTTTAAGTGCCGCTTGAGGAGGAAGGATGTCATATATGAACCCTCATGTAAAAATACATCTGTGTGATAACAATGATGAAAACACACCCTGTATTTATGACAGTTGTCAGCGTGATGACAGTGTGTTTGCTCTTCCAAAAGTGGTGATGCAGGAGTTAATAACCATCCCATCATATAGCTGTCAAGAAAATGGGAAGTTTTATGAAATATTGAAGTGGAAATGTACATTGGATGACATGCTGCAATTCAATTTTCCAATTTTAATTCCAATTTATTTTAATTTCCGATTTAAAGTTTACTTTCAATAGGAAATATTTCCTTATTAAAAATTTCCTGTCTTTTTTGACAAATATCTGTTTTGTAAAAATTTCAACAAGTCTTTCTATTGTTGTCACTGTAATAAAACAATAAATTCCAAAACTCTTAGAAACCTCAAAAATCATTTAGACTAGTTTCAATCCTGGCAGAAGATATTAAAATTTATCATATCAATACAAGATCAGTATTATAGCCTAGGATTTTTGAATTAGGATGTTTCCCTTTACAATCTATCAAGATATGTTTTACTAACGATTAAATAATTCATTATCTTATTCACTTATTGTTGGAAAATGAATATTAGTATATTTTATGTAATACATTATTTATTATTTTATTACTTCATTTATGTTTATTACTTGATAGTCACAGACTACTCTTGAAAAATATTTCTAAAATATATTGTTACATTTGCCTTATAACTTAAGTACCCATTTATATTAATAAGGGTTGAGCAAAGTAATGCCTTTCCTTAGTGATATCAAATAGGTACTTGTAAAATGCTACTTTATTGTGTGAGGAGGCATTTCATTTATCTTGCTTAGAACATACCATTTTTCATACAAAAAAAAAGCTGCAATGTGGCATATAAGTATATGGGATGATTTCAAATGATATGATAGATTTTATATATATTCACTAACTTTTATTATGTTTTATTTGTAGGGCTGTGCCTTTTATTGGGGATTTACTTCTTGGATTGCCTACTACATTAATCACCCACAGTATACACCACCATGTATGTAGGATTTCTTTCTAATTAAACACATACTAAATTGCCAACATCAAAACTCTCTTCTACACTACACAGAATGATGAACAACCTGGCACACTTTAAAAAAGAAGTAAATAATGAGAAAAAATGTCATTTTTAATAGCTTCCATATCATACTCTATTACATTTTTATGTAGACCTAAAAAAACAAATTTGAACGACATAGTTTGATTTATTTTCTCTCCATAGGAACTCTAGCAAAAATATGAGTTGATTGTAAACCTCCAAAATGACAGATAGTGAAATGAAAGAATGAAGATTAAAAAGAAAAATTCCATATAGTCACAAAATCAGTCATATAAAATCAGCTGTCAGAATTTTAAAAATTCACAATAATTATGTAATTATTATATTATATGCAATTCAATAAGAAAAATAGAAGCAATTTGTTTCTGTAACATACTGGTTTCTGTTTATAACTTTATTAAATGTCCTGACCATTGACTCAGATGAAGCAGTTTGGTGGAAAACACAATGGACCAGACCTAAATCCTCATTTCATAAAAGTGAAGAAAAATAGCTGTCCTCATCAAAGAATTCCATTTCTTTATTTGCTGTGGACTTTTCTCTCCTCAGCTTTTACTGCAGCCCTCAAGGCACACACAGAGCTACAACGGTGCTACAAGGGTGGAGGTTTCACATTTAATTGACAGTTATTTTTTGTGGTCTATTACCGGGGTTTATGAAGTTTGAAACGGAAATGAATGGAGTAGTCAAGCTTTATTTTAGATTTTATAAAATAAGTTAAACCATCTTAATATCTGTGCTTGAAATACCAACGACAAAATCTTTACTAAGATCAGCAAATCTAGTTGAGTGTGCTAAAAGTAAATCATTGCAATGTTCAAAACTTTAATTCTTCTAAATACTAACAATTAACTATGAATATTGAAGGGGAAAATTTCTTAATATTATATAAAACATTTTTAAAAAATATTTTATCAGAAGATGTACCTACTAACGTTAGAATATTAATGGACAGATATTTTTGCTCCACAAGGTGTTTAAGAGGAGCCTCTGACAAATGCTAAATTCATGTATCTGATACAAAATAATAGAAGCTGATTGTTATTAACATATGCAAAATATTTATTGAAAACTTAATGTTTGTCAATAATTGTAAAATTTCTGTTTCTTTGTAATAAGAAACATTATTATGTAAGTGCTAATATCCCCGATTATGATTAGGAAAATGAGGCCCTGAAAGTCTAATTTTACTGTGCTCAAGACTCTTAAATGCATAAGATGTAAGTAGGACTTAAATTCTGTGAAAACATATATAACATTACAATACTGATTCCAACTGGAAAGTGAATAAATATCATGTCTAGTCCTATTCTCAACAGATTTGACTGCATATTTTTTTTTTTAAGATTTTATTTATTTGTGAGAGAGAATGAGAGAGAGCATGAGAGGGAGGAGGGTCAGAAGGAGAAGCAGACTCCCCGCCGAGCAGGGAGCCCGATGTGGGGATCGATGCCGGGACTCCAGGATCATGACCTGAGCCGAAGGCAGTCGTCCAACCAACTGAGCCACCCAGGCGCCCTTGACTGCATAAAATTAATAACATCTGTACACACACTAACTTGAATAAAATACTACATATTATTATTTACTTGAATAAAATACTACATATTATTTATACATGCTAACTTGAATAAAATACTACATATTATTATTATGTATTTTCACCACATATACCATTAAGGAAGTCATTTTTCATACTTCTTCAAAATATTTTAAAGTAAATAGGAAACAAATTATGATAATTGAAAACTGCCCAATGGCAAGAATATTCCATTAACTGCAAACTGGCATGCATATGTTCAGAAAACTTAATACATAAATGTTAGTATCAGCAGCAATCAAGGAAAAACAACCTGTTTTTCTCTTTCTCGCCAAATGTAAAATATTATAAAAATTATAAAAATAAAACAGAAAGTTTGGGATGCCTGGGTGACTCAGTCGGTTGAGCCTCTGCCTTCGGCTCAGGTTTTCACCCCAGGGTCCTGATACTGAGTGCTGCATTGGGCTCCTTGCTCAGCGGGGAGTCTGCTTCTTCTTCTGCCCCTCCCCCCTGCTTCTGCTCTCTCTCTCTCTCTCTGTCTCTTTCTGACACATAAAGAAATAAAATCTTTAAAAAAAAATTAGAAAAAGTTTTAATAATGGCTAAAATTTTTATAGAAAGTTTGTTTCAAATTACACTCTCTGTAGCTTTGATTTTTGGAAATAAACACTAAAAATATTTAAAAATTATACTCTTTGCCGCTGTACCTGTTTTTATCACATCATTATTTATTCTTATTAAAAAATGAAAACAAGGTATATTTTCACTGTCCTGCTACATGAAATGTTCTGAACCCCTCTCTTGTCTATTTAATATCTATTCATTTTCTAAATCAAAGTTCAACCATGTACTCAGAGAGTCCTCCCTGATCTCCCTGATTAAATCCTTCATTTTAGCTCTTACATTAAATACTATATAGACCTTTCTTAGTAACACTTATCAGGGTTGCACACTTCCCTTTGTTATCTTGTGATTATTATTTGTTTCCTTGTTAGACAGTAATTTTTATTAAGATAAGAGTTGCTTTTGGCTTAGTTTATAACTGATTTTATCACAAGCACACATTATAGTGCCTGTCCTATAGATGCCTAATAGCTATTATTGAATGAATAAAGTTTTGTCCAGAAGTAGCATAAACAAAAAAATATATATTTTGATTTAGCTAGAGAAGAATGTTTAATTATATGGCAAATGTTGCTTAGTTATATGGCAAATATAATATGAAGGAATAAGTGATTATAAAAGTGTTTTATAAGATACTGTAAAAAGTATATAACAAATATGTATATTTCCAAGGGAAAATCTGAGTTTTAACTGATTTACCATGGATAATGGGATTTTAATGTATTTTATTTCCCTTTACATTTTTATCTGTCTTCCAAAAATTCTCCATTAATGTATTAATGTATTTTATTTCATAATTAGATATATGTACTTTATAAAAACAAAACATTCAATACTTCTACATATTTTATATATATGCTTTATGGATATATATATGTATATATATATGTATATGTACATATATCCGTGCATAGACACTTATATAACTTTTGACTAAATTATCCTTAAAATTTCTAGCCCATGGAACTGGAACTTCCATAAAAGACATAAAGAAAGATGTTTGAAGTAGTATTATTTATCATACAAAAAATTAAAGTAGCACTAAATATGCAGCATGAGATAATATTGAATGTTTTTAGAGCTAGCCACATTATACATCATGATACAGATATTATCATAGCTTTTACATGAATGTTTAATAATATTAGAAATGTCTTTAAATATATTCTTATAAAATATGCAAGATTTAAAATGAGACATTATAATTGTGTAAATGTGTTTATATAAATACAATTTATATGCACACACACATAAAAGTAAAAAAAAAGAAATGCAACTGTTAATACAGTTGATGAGTTTATCAGAAAATTTTATTTTTAGGACTTTTGTATATTCCACCTTCTTTACCATGAGAAAGGTAACTTTAAGACAGTGTCTAAAATTCTATTTTATTCCTTATATATATAATTTGGGAACATGTAACCTAAATTTTTATTTACTTTAAGATGAGAACATTAATGCTTGCCTCATATATTTGTTTTTAGATGAAAAATGAAAAACATTTAAAATATTACCTATTATAAAATATCAGTGCAAAAAATAAAAGTTTTTATTAGCATGTTTTTTGTTGCTGTTAAATGTTAAAAAACAAGAGTTATCATTGGGTGCCATCATGTGTTATGCCATATCATGTGTTTCAAGGTGAGAAATGAAAGATTAAATCTGCCTTCAAAGAGCTTAATAATACAAATTAAAAATAGATTCCTTTTGTATTCTAAATATAATTAAGTGACTAGAAAAAAAGTATATGTTGAAAGCAAAAATATTTTCATCCCTTTAGATTGCAAACGTGCTATCCCAAAAGGTCAATTACATACACCACTGTACTTTGGATTAGAGGATAGTAATATCCAATAAACATTGCTTCAATTATGTTTATAGTGTGGCAATCCAAATTATGAATGTTTGCATCACATCTTCTTTTCTTACTTCCTAGCCTTTGGAAACCGGCAAGTCACCGTATCTGCTATCAATTTTTTGGTATGTATTATTTATATTACTTGCATTCAGCTCTAATTGTAGTGCTATTAAGAATGCAAAACAAATTATATTTGAGGATTTCACATGTAGAAAATATCATCTATTTTTATATTGTATACTTAATGATATTTAGTAGAGTAAGTCAATTACCCCGAATCAAGCTATTAGCTCTCTAAATTTTTTTTTGCTCTTTAAATCTTTTCATCAAAATGTTCTACTCATCTATGAAGAATGATTAGAATAATTTGAAATCTAGTAAAATTTGAAAAAAATCATAGTAATTCTTCCTATTGTCTATTTACTTACAAACCCCTAAGAGCAAAAAGTTTTTAAGTCTAACAGATGAACATCTAAAAAACTCTTTGGAGGGTGCCTGGGTGGCTCAGATGGTTAAGCGTCTGCCTTAGGCTCAGGTCATGATCCCAGGGTCCTGGGATCGAATCCCGCATCAGGCTCCCTGCTCCTTGGGAGCCTGCTTCTCCCTCTGCCTCTCTCTCTCTCTGTCTTTTATGAATAAATAAATAAAATCTTAAAAAAAATTAAAAAAATTGAAAAAATAAAAAACTCTTTGGCATATGGAAACAGTCTGCTTTTTTGAATGAAAGGTAGGTCTTTTCTAAGTGTTCTCAATCCAGTTATTTAGATTATTCTATTTAAATTTACATATGCATTGTTTGAATTGGGTACACATCAATCTAAGTACAACAGATTATTTATCATTTCTGAAATGCATTGTTTCATTAAACACATATTTTGCCTCATACACCATATAATTCCACCATATAACCCATGCTTCTATTCTTTATTCATGTTCTTCCTCATTCTTGTCCTTGATAGATTAACTCCCATGATTCCTGTCCCTGATGCATTGATGAATTCTCTTGATTCATATATAAGTCTATATCCTTTGTGAAGTTGGTATTGAATAACTTATGCCCCACCATTTCATACAAGGCATAAATCACACACACTTTGTGAAAAGCTCTCATGCGAACGTGTGTGTGTGAATGTGTGTATTTTAATTAATACTTTAGTTAATTACATCCTCTATATGTTGGCTGTGGCAGGAGCAGGTCCTGCTTTAATATTTTTAGCACCTAGTTTTGTGCATATTAGAAACCCTCCTTGCTTGAGTGAATAACAAAAATCATTTCTTTATTTATAACTTTTTTTTAAAGATTTTATTTATTTATTTGAGAGAGAGAGAATGAGAGATAGAGAGCACGAGAGGGAAGAGGGTCAGAGGGAGAAGCAGAGTCCCTGCTGAGCAGGGAGCCGATGTGGGACTCTATGCCGGGACTCCAGGATCATGACCTGAGCCGAAGGCAGTCGCTTAACCAACTGAGCCACCCAGGCGCCCATTTATTTATAACTTCTTAAGCAAATATATTGTCAATATATCATCACCTTTTAACTTTCCACATGTGTATATTATTCGTAGATTGCAGGGCTTCAGTTTATTTATTTTGATGCCTTTATTGTTAACCTACATTGTACCAAGTCAAATGATTTTTGTATATTAACTACTCAGTAAATTTGAGCAAATGGAAGAATTAATTAGTGGATAAACAAAACAATAACCACATATTTGGTCTTTATTTTTATATATTTTTAGATTCATATCTGATTATTTCTCTCATTTTTATCCTCCTTATAATGTTAGCCACTATACATTTTTGCAACTTGTTTTCTGTTATCTGTGTAAATATTTACACATCTCCCATTTTATATAATATTCTTGATTTCTTTCCTTTTCTCTAATGTGGTATTGCTATGAATCCATGGCTCTAGTATAAAAGAAAACTTTTTTAAAAAGTTACATTTTTATTTTGTTTTTAAGATTTATTTATTTGAAGTGGGGGAGCAGAGGGAGAGGAAGAGAAAGTTTTAAGCCAACTCTGCCCTGAGCACAGAAGCTAATGTGGGGCTTGATCTTATGCTCCTGAGATCAGGACCTGAGCTGAAACCAAGAGTCAGATGCTTAACTGACTGTGGCACCCAGGCCCTCCAAAAAAGTTATTGCTTTTTAAAACACTTGTCTTAGCAGTTATAATATTTTTAAGTGAAAAAAGAGGCATAATTGAAAACAAGCAAAATTCTAAAGGTTTGCAATATACATTTTTCCCCAAAGATTTCTAAAGACATTGCCTCCTAATTAATCTACTAGTGCTTAATATTCACACATGATTTTATTAATCAATGCTTTTTAATACATTTCACATGGGGAAAAATAAGAAGGAGAATTAGGCAAGTCATAAAACTTTATCAGAGTTTCTGTCTTATAAGGGCCAAGGTGTCAAAATAAATAAGTAGTGATAAATAGCATTGACTAAATCCAATACAGACAATAGATAAATGTAATATCGTGTAATTGTAAAGTTATTACTTTAATTCCACATTTCTAAGCACATAACAGATATTGACTGTTCCAATCATAGACTTAAATTAAGATTAAAAGAAAAACCTGTGCTTTTAATTATAGATAGTATTGAGTATATGAATAAAACCTTATGTAAAATTCAAAATTTTGAATGCAAATAGATTCAGAAATGAGACAGAAGGGTCACGCGAGTCTCCTAAAATTATAAATTGTGATGACAAATTAAAAAGTCCTGCTAGCCCTGAATTTCTTAATAATGTTCCATGTAGGCAAAATACATTTACTTTTCACAAATAAAATATGATATTAAGAGGTAAGTTTTAGGAAACTGATTCTCCTACTGGATATAACAACAAATGAGTTGAGTTTGCACTTATATCACCTAAATTGAAGATGCCTACCATAACATTGTGAGCATAACATTCTATATTTCAAGGTTGATTTTCTTTTCGTTCACAATAACTGAACGTCTATGTGTGTGCTTTTCACATTTATCATAAGAAATGTATATGCAAATGGTTCAGAAAGAAAAGCACCTATGTTTAAGTCAAGTGCTTTTAAAATTATTTTATATTATCAGCATATAATATAATCAATTATTATTATGTAGAGGAAAAAGGGGGAATTCATAGGCCAATCTTGTATAATATAAAGTTTAACCAGAAAATGCTTATCTTAATTGAAAGTGTTAATTTTTCTGCTAATGTTTGCAAAACTTCCTGTTCTTCATGTTGTTGGTATATGTACCCTCTTAACATAAGAAAAAAGCATTATCCATTTAAAGTTGATTTTGCTTCTCCTGTTGTGTAGAGCCAGATTATACCCGGTTAGGAGATAATACAGTGCAATGTGTGAAATATGGTCATAGTTAATTCTTAATTACTCATGTATGAATCATCCATTTTGTTGACTAACCATTAACAATTATAATTTTCTCTTTTGCTCCCTCCTCTTTTATTTTTAGTCTAAGTTTTCTAATATAATAAGCAAAATCTATTGTAAGCAAAACAACACACATTACAATGCATACTTAATGTATTCCAAAGTGGAGTATAATTCCTTGTGGAAAATCTTTGATTTTGGTGAATTTTGTCATGTAGATACTATATTCTGAGAAGTATTTTATCACCTCCCCCTTTGTGTAAGTTCTTTCTGACTTTCAACATGACTTTGTTCTCTCAAGTATGTTTTGATATCATAAAATCTACAAGTAAAAAAATCAAAGAAGTAGAATCAAATATAGGCAAATTTATAAAGACATCAGTGTATCTTTCACCACAACTTTTAGATCTTTGTTTTTCTACTAGAAATATTGTAGAGATACACTATAATTCAGTCTCTTCATATTTCTATGATCTCTCTTCATTCTCTGAACCCAAGTCCACCCACAAAGGAATGAAAGTACTACTGCAAAACAAAATATAGTCTATAATTTTTAATATTTTGCTATTTTATAAATAACAATCCTGTTTTCTTTATCCACTCTTCCTCTCAGTTTATTTTTACTCTCCAGAAGCAGTTTATGATTTGTCAATTCTTTGTACATTGAGCACTTCACCAGAAAAGGAATTTTTTCCTTGCATTTCCTTGCATTTCTTCAACAATGTAGGAATTGAGAGAAATAAATAATAATATACAAGACATGGTTTGCAAAGTACTGAAAATCACTCTTCTCCCTGGTTTTGCCCCTGTGTCTTCAGTCTCACCATTAGTTATCACTCATTTAGATTAAGTTTTATTTTTTGTTAAAATGGAAATATTCTTGGAGAAGTAATAAATTACGTTCTTATCAAACAGTCACATCTTCTCTTGTAACATTGAACCGAGAAGGACCTTGGGCAGAGAACAGTAATTTTTTTTTCTCCAAAATATTCATCCAAACATTTATTGAGTGAATTACATTGTCAAAGAAACCAGTGATTAATGAAAATCCTGCTTTAAAAAGCTTACAATCTAGTTGAAAGAACAGCCAAAGATATCACAATATAAAAAAGTATAAGGCAAACACTGTTACAATGTTATAAAACAAAGCCCTGTAAGAGCAGAGAGAAAACAATTTTGACTAGAAAAAGGGAAACAAAACTCAACCAAAGCTTCAATTTTGACTGGTTGGATTCAGGGAATAAAATAAGGATGAAGAAAGTCACCTGCATGGCATGTTCGGAAAATGCTAAGTAGTCCAGTTTGGCTAGAACACAGGATGAAGCAAATCACAGAGGATCATATATGGTAACAACCTCAGCTTTATTCTGTAGGTATTCAAGAGTAATTTCAGATTTCTGAGCTGGGAAAGTTAAGTAGTGAGTGGATGATATAGTTAGATCTACAAGTTGAAGTAAAAAAGCTGACAGCAGAATATAGAAGATACAGACAGGACTGAAAATATTGGCAAGATTAGTTAAGAGACCCTATAATAACCCAACTAAGAAATAAAGTTGGGTAGAGCCCCCAAATATATTTAGAAATTAACAGGTTGGAAACATCCTTAACTGAATATAGGCAAGCCAAGAAATTACCTTAAATATTTATAATTTATTAAGTTTAAAGAAATACAACTAGGTTAAATTATTCCTGAGTAAACTACAACTTCAAAGAGAAAATACAATATACACAATTAAAAAGAGTTGAAACATTATTTTATAATGACTTATCAAGGTTATTCTCATCTATACTATTTATTTTAAAGAAGTACTATAAAATGCAACACAGGAATACTTAAAAATAACATATTAATTCTACCAATTATCTGCACATCATTTACGCAAAAATTTAAGGTTTTTTTTCCCCTCCCGTGGTCAAATAAAGATATCTCTAAATCAACTTTTTGTATTTAGCACATATTTATATAATACCAATTAATTTTTTTAGCTTGAAAAAACAAAAGTGTGGCCAAAAATATTCACCATGAATTTACAAAATAGTTAGTATACTATCTGCTGTGCAGTCAACTAATATTTATTGAGCACCTCCCATTTTCCAGAACCAAAAACATGTTACCTCACAGACTTCTCAAAACCCTCTGAGAAAGGTAACAGTATTTTTTATAAAAAAGATGAGAAAAGTATGAATCGGACTGACAGGAACTTGCTCAATAATATAATCAGTAACATTTAATTATATTAACACCCAATTTTAGAAGATCATTATTTTTCACATTTCTGTTGTTCCCACTGTCTTTGCTTTCTTTCTTTTTTTTAGTATCACCATCATTCCTTTCCTAGTCTAAGAACATTACCATATACCTAGTTTCTTGCTTATAAATTTTAATAAAATGTATGTAAATGGGCATGTATAATATCAAGTACTACTCAATCATTCTGGAATTTAAAAATGACAAAAGCACATACTTTAAAAAGCTACACATTAAATAGATACAAGCTATGATTTCTAAAATATAGTAATATATAGATTTTAAAAAAATTAACCTCATTAAAATTTTTGGTTTATAAATTACAACCTTAAATACAGAATGTTAAGATTAAATGACTATGTATTATGATGGTCAGCTACATATAAGGTACCAAAATACATATTCTTTTAAGTTTAAAGTACCTCTCCTACAAACTGGGCTAATGGAAGGTTATTTTAGTTCAACTGGAATAAAATTATAAAAGGAGTACTTTCCTTTATTACAAATAACTGCAGTCAACAAGTCAAACACCACGGAATTCAATTTTGAAGATAATCCAATAGTAAATAACATCAAATACTAGCCAACATATATAGTATAATGTAAGTATATATTACCTTATAAAAAAGTTTTTCTATTAAAAAAGTATTTTAATAGAAAGAAACTATAAACAGACTAGATTTAGTAAGTGCCCTCATTTTATAGATTACAGACTGAGGCTCAAGAGTAATTTGCCCAAGTCATATGCCAATGGTAGAACCAGGACTGATACCTGAGCCTGATTTCTCTTCTGGGCTCCTTTCACCATATCCATGTTCTCTCATTTTATGAATCGTATTATTTATTCATTCCAATTTGGAAGATTACCAAGTAGTGAAACTTTTTCTCTACAGCCCAACAACTCTAGTTTTTCTTAAAAAATGAACATTACAAGAACAGGATGCAGTTTTTAACGTTAGAATACTTTCTTCGCTTAAGATGGAACTTTATAAGGGAAAAAAGTTCACTTTACACATAAGTTGGTTTGGCTGCAAAAAGCTTTATAAAAGTCATAGCATTAAAACCTCTTTACACTCTATATCATAGTAACTTCATATGTTGTGAAATGCTTTTCTATAATCTTGACATTTTCTTCAGATAGCCAGTGTTCCTGTTTTAACTGCCTTATAAGAGCTTCCAAAGACTTCAATCTTCCAAGAGTTTGTTGTTCTTGTAGCTCAAGAAGAGTTATTTTTGAATGTAGTTTAGAGACTTTCTGCCAGAGATGTTCCTTATTTATATCTTGTCTGCAGTAAGAATGTTCAGTTTGTAAAACTTCTGTCTCATAGTCTATATCCTTATATAAGGAGTCTTCAACGCCTAGATCTCCCATTTCCACGGTTTCTTTCTCAGCAGATACAAAAGAATTAATTGGTTTGGAATTTTGTGTGGGTACAAAAATGGCAATAACAGATTCTTTATTTGCATTTAATTCTTCAACTGTTTGAGTAATTGTGCTGAGTAAGAATGGACTTTCCTGTGCTGACTTAATTTCCATGGAATTATTTGTAAAGTTTGGGTTAGCAAGGTGATTCGTAGTTATTTCAAACACTTCTTGGGTTTCCAAAGACGGCTGAACATCTTCTGAATTTGAAGTTGTCAAAGTAATAGTTGTAGAATTTAGATTCTCAAAAGATGTATGAAAACCACCTATATCTATGTCTTGGGTAACTGATGTTTCCAAGGTAGATACTGGTTTTCCAGTATCTTGTTTAACCAGATTAAGAGTTAATATGTTATTTTGTATACTTTCTGGTTTTGGAGCTGGTAGCTTGACCAAGGTAGATGAATTAAGTAATTCTGTGTGTTCAGGGAGGACATCTGTATTAACTGTATTTTTCTTTAGCTCACTTGATGCAAATGATTCTTGTGACTTGGCTTTTAAGCACACTTCTTTCTCATCTAATTTTTTCTTCTGAGATTTTTTTTTGGAAGGGTCTTTTTCCTGATTGTCTTCAGGCAAAGAAAATATTGTTGGAATTGCAGTTTGTTTCAAATATCGAATACCCCATCTGATGTCAAGAGAGTCAGGAGTAAAATGGTCACTACGCAGGAACTGGTATTTACTGGGTACCCATGAATCTCGTTTCATATTCTTTAACCATTTTTCAAGTCTTTCTTTGTCATGTAGAGGAAACGGATAAAAACTCAGCTTCCGGTCCTTACTGTTTCGTCCCCGACGGTTCTTACAGCATATCGCTGCGCAATAGCGAGGCATCGCTCGCGTGAGGCCCCCAAAACCGGGGCCAACGAAGGTCCCAGTTGGCCCTCCTTGCCCGAGAACAGTAATTTTTGATTAAGGGAGAGGATGCTGGGAACAATATATCACCGCTTTTAACAAGGGTGGAGGAGAGTGGGGCCGTGCTATGGAAACTGCAGTAAGGCCAGGAAACTGCTCGAATGTTGGGTATTTGTGGAGGAGATAAATGAGGGAAGAAATGTGTGCCAAAGGTAAGTGCTTTCATTCTCAGGAAGCATGCTCAGCTTCGGTTGTCAGAGTTTTTTCTGATCTTTTGCCTACTATTGATAGACACCAGTAAAAAGATGGACAGCACTTTTTATTGAAGACTTAAAACAAAATTTAGCACTCTTCATTTTCTCATCATTTGCCAATTTGGTTTCCTCTCAACACCCCTCAAGTATCTAAGATAAATAATGACATAAGTAAGAATCAACTTTTATACCTAAATATTGTTGGAGTAATCCTTCTTCAGTAATTTGTTTAGAAGACTAGTTTTAAAATTAATAATGTAAAATTATTTTTAAAGATTTTATTTATTTATTTGCCAGAGAGAGAGCAAGCACAAGCAGTGTGAGCAGCAAGCAGAGGGAGAAGCAGACTCCCTGCTGCACAAGGAGCCCGATGCAGGACTCGATCCCAGGAGCCTGGGATCATGACCTGAGCCAAAGGCAGGTGCTTGACCAACTGAGTCACCCAGGCATCCCTAATAATGTAAAATTAATGCAAATTTATTTTTTTATAATTTTTTGTAATTATCATTTATTTTTTGGCTAATACTGACTTACTCCTAAAAATAGTAATACTTTAAAATCAGCAGCTACTATATAATGATAAAAATTATCAATGCTAAAATATATAGTATAAAGCTAATATAAAATAACTTCTAAGAAATCATCATAAATGTGTTTTTAACAATAAATTACAATAGTCAGTATTTATGAAGTATCTTTATCTTTAAAATTTTACTGTATGGTGCTATTTTTTAGACTATAGTCTTGTACTGTATGTGCACATTCTTGTGTTATATGATATTTCATGAAAACTCTATGGATTAAAAAATAAATAAATCAGGTATCCCTAGAATTGTGGTAATGAGATGGGCTACAGAAATAAAATAAACTATTTTTAAACCTTAAATCAAATACCTTGAGTTACAATTTGAGTGAAAATATCATCTCTTACAGCAAGTATAGCAAGTTTTATAAAGTAAAATATTAGTTTCATGCAAATATAAATTCATAAAATAACTCTTAAAATTTATTTTTCATATCCTGCAATCATATAAATGCACGAGCTGAACTTTTACTTAGAACCGTACAATTATTCATTTTTAAAAGTGACATGGGTTGGTTAGGGCAAAGACAATACAATAGAACAAATAAATCATAACAAATGGTGCTGTAGGAGCCAGATATATACATACAAAAAAAAAAATGAATCCAGACACAGACCTTATACTCTTCACAAAAATTAAGTGGATCACAGACCTAAGCACAAAATGCAAAACCGTAAAACTTAGATGATGACATAAGAGAAAACCTAGATGACTTTAGGTACCACAATGACTTTTAAGGTAAAACACTAAAGAATGATCCATGAAGGATATAATTGATAAGCTAGACTTCATTCATCTTAAAAACTTATGGTCTGCAAGGACTGATGTCAAGAGAATGAGAAGAAAAGGATAAACTAGGAAAAATATTTGCAAGAGACACATCTGATAAAAGATCATTATCTGAAATATAGAATGGATTCTTAAAATGCAAGAATAAGAAAACAAACAGCTCAATTAAAAAATGGGTAAAAGACCTTTACTGACACCTTACCAAAGAAGATATACAGTTAGCAAAAAAGCATATGAAAAATGCTCCAAATCATATCCTATCAGGGAAATGCAAATTGAAATAAGATAGCTCTACAAACATATTAGAATGGCCAAGAACCTAGATCACTGACAACACCAAATGAAGATAAGGATGTAGAACAACAGCAGAAACTCATTGCTGTGGGGATGAAAAATGATCTAGTCACTTTGGGAAACAGTTTGGCAGTTTCTTACAAACCTAAATATACTTTTACCATATTATCCAGCAGTTGTGCTCCTGAGTATTTACCCAAAGGAATTAGAAACTTATGTCTACACAGAACCCTACAAATGGATGTTTACAATAGTTTTATTCATAATTGCCAAAACTTGGAAGCAACTAAGATGTCCCAAAGTAGGTGAATGGATAAACTATGATACCTCCAGACAATGGACTATTTCTCAGTGCTAAAATGTAATGAGCTATCAAGCCATGAGAAGACATGGGGAAAGCTTAAAGGAATATTGCTCAGTAAAAGAAGTCCTTCTGAAAAAGCTAAATACTATATGATTCTAACTAGATGACATTCTGAAAAAAACAAAACTGTGGAAACAGTAACAAGATCAATGGTTAGCAAGGGTTGGGGAGAGAGGAATGAACAAGAGGAGTACAGAGGATTTTTAGGACAGTGAAAATACTCTGTTTGATACCATAATGATGGTTATGTGGCATTATACATTGTCCAAACTCAGAGTGTACAACACCAAGAGTGAACTCTAATGTAAACTGTGGACTTTGGGTGATTATAATCTGTCAATGTAGGTTCATCTGTTGTGACAAGTGTACCACTCTGTTGGAGGACACGGATAATGGGAGAAGTTATGCATGTTCAGGAGCAGGGGATATAGGAAAACGCTCTGGACCTTCCCCTTGATTTTGTTGTAAACTGCTCTAAAAAAATGTCTTAATGAAAAAAGTGTTGGTTAGTATATATATTTTCTGATAAACCCATAACTAACATATTGGACATATTTATTCTGGAACACAATGCATGTTATCCTTTTTTTAATTGAAATGTATATAAATGGGTTTCCTAATTTAAAAAAATAGAGGTTAGGAATTAGAATAAATTTTTATAATGTTATAGTGATGTATTATCATGTTATAAAACTTAACTTATGATGCTAAAAGAGTGTAATGTTGGCCTATATTATCAAATAGCATGTCTATGCAAGTGTGTTTTATCCTTTAGAGACTAACTTCTCAAGAAGTTAGTTGATATATATCACGATGAAACTTCCATAATTATATAGTGATCTAAGATTTTCCTTATTCTTAAAATATTAAGATAAAATAAATAAGACATGACATAATAATAATTATTATCATTAGAAAGAGAGAAAATCAAAATAGCTGAAATTCAAAACAAACCTGATTATTAGTGTTAGAAACATTTTGGCAGATTCAAATTTTTAAATTATATTAATGAAAGAGACATTACATTGCTCAAATTATAAACTTATATCTGCCGATAATTAATAATAACGATAACATATATAAATCGTAATCTCAGAAAACAAACTGAGGGTTGCTAGAGTTGTGGGTGTGGCTGGGTGATAGACATTGGGGAGGGTATGTGCTATTGTGAGTGCTGTGAATTGTGTAAGACTGTTGAATCATAGATCTGTACCTTTGAAACAAATAATACACTATATGTTAAAAAAAGAAGAAGATAATGGGAAGGGAAAAATGAAAGGGGGGTAATCGGAGGGAGAGACCAACCATGAGAGACTATGGACTCTGAGAAACAAACTGAGGTTCTAGAGGGGAGGGGGGTGGGGGGATGTGTTAGCCTGGTGATGTATTGAATGGAGCACTGGGTGTTATACGCAAACAATGAATCATGGAACACTACATCAAAAACTAATGATGTAATGTATGGTGATTAACATAACATAATAAAATAAAAAAATCTTTGGGGAGAACAGATATATACAGAAACAATATAGATCTTTTTTTTTAGGACTTTATTTATTTGACAGAGAGAGAGACACAAGCGAGAGAGGAAACACAGCAGGGGAGAGTGGGAGAGGGAGAAGCAGGCTTCCGGCTGAGCAAGGAGCCCAGTGTGGGACTCAACCCCAGGACCCTGTGATCATGACCTGAGCCAAAGGCAAACGCTTAACGACTGAGCCACAAGGCACTCCGTTCATTTTCATTCCTATAAAAATACTATTAGATTACAGAATAAAGATTACTTATTTTTACTGTGGAAACCAAAAGAGTTTTACTAAGACAAAATGACAGAGCCTGACTATTTGATGGCTACAAATTCTGTATAGGGTGTTTAGATTTTATTATTATTTTTTAAAGATTTAATTTATTTAAGAGAGCGCAAGAGAGAGAGAGCAGGAGCAGGAAGCGGGAGGGGTAGAGGGGGAGGGAGAAGAAGATTCCCCACTGAACAGGGAGCTGGATCCCACTGAACAGGGAGCTGGATGCCGGATTCAATCCTAAGATCCTGGGATCATGACCTGAGCTGAAGGCAGACACTTAACCGAGCCACCCAGGTGCCCCTAGATTTTATTCTATAGACACAGTGTTTTCACTATTTATATAAGTAGAGAAGGTTCACTTGCTGAGGCTTGCAAGAAAGAACATTACAGAAATAATATAAAAGTGGATCTCTGCAAGTTGGGCTTCTACACATCTGTATGTTTCACATATATAAGATCATTTAACATTTAAGTAATGTAAAAATCAAACCTAATGATAGCAACTTCCTCAAACTTTATTTGTGAAATTGCTGTGTTTACATATAACGTGCCAAAGGAAGATATCTGATTTAGAGAAGAATCAACCCAGGAGAAATGTGTAAGTCATGCTGGAAAATGTTCCAGTGTTTCATATTTAATGTTCTTCTGATTTTTTTTCAGTAATAAAACCATATATTGAGTTTTATAGCACTGACTGAATTTTCTAATCTTACTCAGCTCTGACCCAAGAGGAAATTATATCAACCACTTTTATCTAGGTCAATTAAACTATATTGGACACATTCATTCTTGAGAAGTATTGAAGCTAGTGCTTAAGGTGAAAGTTGAAAATAGTCAAAATTGCTCTTTAAAATCCATTACAGATTTGCTAAGTTAATGATAAACTAGGTATTTTTAAACATATAGATATAGCTGATTTTTTTATCTCCACCCCTAGAATGTATATGGATATGCATTTCATCTGTAGATAGCAAGATGGAAAAGTTGGATTATTTATCACTTTTTTAAGTCCCCTTCTCTCATATTTCTTATTTCAGTATGTTATGTTTTATTTGGGGGCAGGAGGTAGGGGCACCTAGTGATAAATTATGGCATTAGTATACAGCTAGTGGTCTAACTGAAGCTAAATGGTCATTTTTCCATGCCCTATACTTTGGGTAGAAGATTGATGTTTTCGTGTCTAGTTGTGTTGTGAAAAGTAGGAAGGAGAAAATATTTTGAAGGTTGAATGAGTTTAAAATATTGATAATTATAAAGTGAATATGTTTTACCAGAAGAAAAACCATAATTTCTAAAATACAATTTGTTCACAGAGTTGGTAAGTTAATTTGCTTATTAATAAGTATTTTTTATTATATATTCCATTTTGCATTTGGCACTGTGAGTGATGAAAAATAAGTATGACATGCCATTTGACTGAAAGAAGAGCAAAAGATAGAAAGACTAAACAAAGAAAACAAATTATTAATTTAGTAATTATGTGTTTTGTGGTGTTGCCATTGTGAGAGATAGAAATTTAGAGAAGTAAGATTAATCAATGTAGGGTAATTCTCTGGTTTTTAATTGATGACATTGGTAACTAAAATTATCACAGTTTTATTGGGTAATTCATATGTCAGGCACTTGATTTAATTTAATCATCCTATAATAACCATCAGGGGAAAGAAAGTAATATCAGCATTTAGGTGAAGAAATGGAATTTCAGATATCTTAATCATGTAATCTCTCAAAAGTAAAAGATGAGGCATTCGAACACAAGTTCATCCAACAATGGCTCACACTCTTAACCACATTCATCTATAAATAAGTTCAACTATAAAATTATTATCTGAAAATGTAAAATTCAGCTTTTATTCGTAATGATAACTTGAGAAACTAAGAGCCTCTTCTACAATTACAAAACTATTATATGTGAAGAAATCCCTACAGAAATTGTTGAAAAGAACAAAATCAGATATATGTTAAGAGATTAATAGCATTAAAGATACTGAGTTAAAAACATGCTCAATTTAGGAATATATTATAGTGAAAATTTGGATGACTCTAAACAATAATGGTATTGGATAACAATGTTATTAATAACAAAGTATTAAATTTTGAATACATACCTATTGTTAATCAGATGAAGCATATTGATGACAAAGGAAAGGGTACTAACTTCTGGGGACACATGTTACAAATTGGGAACATTATTTTTTTTTTAAGATTTTATTTATTAGGGCACCTGGGTGGCTCAGTTGGTTAAGCGACTGCCTTCGGTTCAGGTCATGATCCTGGAGTCCCGGGATCGAGTCCCGCATCGGGCTCCCTGCTCAGCAGTCAGTCTGCTTCTCCCTCAGACCCTCCCCCCTCTCATGCTCTCTCTCTCTCTATCTCATTTTCTCTCTCAAATAAATAAATAAAATCTTTAAAAAAAAGATTTTATTTATTAGACAGAGAGATCACGAGCAGGGGGGAGTGGTAGAGGGAGAAGCAGACTCCCCACTGAGCAGGGACCCCCAAGCAGGACTTGATCCCAGGACCCCAGGATCACGACTTAAGCTGAAGGCAGATGCCCAACCGACTGAGCCACCCAGGCCTGCAAATTGGGAACATCATTAACCCTGTCCCTGAAGATGTTAGTAAGACTTGAGCTTCTTAGACGTCATAGTGGTCTATTGACTGGGATGGCTGGTAGAGTGTATATGATCAAGGGGTCAGATGACAGACAATCAGCAAGTGTCTTTGTGGGACAGTACTGCTTCCACTCAATTTTCTAAATTGAGTTGAAACCAGCTGTGCATCACACTACCACCCTTGCAGTAACAGGGTTGCTACTGTGCTAATGAATTTAGAACATGCACGCCTATGCCAGATCTATCTTCCACAATCTGACTTGTCTCTTCATGGCATGGAAACTTACCTACTAAACAAGTACAAAGCATATAATCAGCACAACCTGATTTTTAACAAGGGAATTTGAACCTAGTTATCAAAAAGGATCAAAAATGTCTTCAAAGTTTCTAGCTCAATGTGATTCATTATGTTAATTCAATCTATATCTACTACAGTTTCTTTCATTATTATGATACAAGCTTCCTTCTCCCTACAATTAGAGTAATATATCTCTTGGATCTTTGGAATTAATATATTAAATTGATACTGGCAAATCTATAGAATATGATTTTTTTTTAAAGATTTTATATATTTGAGAGAGAGAGAGAGAAGAAGCAGGGGGAGGTGCGGGGGAGCAGCAGAGGGAGAGGGAGAAACAGACTCCCCACTGATCAGGGAGCCCAACTTGGGGCTCAATCCCAGGACACTGGCATCATGACCAGAGCCAAAGGCAGATGTTGAATGAACCAAGCCACCCAGGTGCCCCTATAGAATATGATTTTTAAAGAGGAACATGTAGATTACACTGAAAAGCTTAAAATGTTTTACAGATTTGTGAAGCTGGAAATCATTTCATCAATGTAATCTTGGCTCATCCCAACCACACAGGTTAGTGCCTTTTTCTCTTTATCTTCTCTAAACAATGTTAATTATTATTTTTAAAAGCCTTTAGTAAACAATTTTTAAAGCAATAGTTGGAAACATTTAAGAGAATATATCCCAATTCTAGCTGCTGTATGCCTAAGTTTTTAAAATATTTGAACTAAATCGTATTTTCTAATAATGGTTTCTCTAAAATGAAATGTGCATGCCCCTCACATCAAATGACAATCTCATTTAAATATGTAAAAAATAAACAGATGATTAAGAACTAAGGCAGTATAAAATCCAGTGATAAATGCCAATTTTTTAGCTTAACTCTCAATCTTGATCTAATTTGCATAATAATTGATATAACCTCACTGTATTTCAAGTGACTTAAACTTTTTCTAATAAAAGTGATCTTTGACAAATTCAGAAGCTCTGAGATAGCAATGCCTGGGAGGACATTTTGAATTTAGTAGTTAGTTAAAAGTATTTCACAAAATTCACAGTGTTTATATAAAGATATTCTTGGTAAATTAATCCTCTCATTCAGGTTTAATTATAGGTATGGATTCATACTCCTTTTTGTACCTGACACATAATTTAATTATAATTTTAAGTGGCAATGGTCAACATTTGGATTTCATGTTGTTATTGGTCTAGTTGCAAATATAAAGGTGTATTTGCCTCAAGTGTGTTTTAACATCTACCTGAATGTCTTAACATTTTCTTGCCTTGCACATTTCTGGCAGGTTGGTGAAATACTTTCCAAAATATTTTTTCATATAATATATAGAATCACAAAGAAAATTTACTATGTTAGAACATTTATGAATATATAAAACAGCTATAATATATAACATGTTTTATTACATTACATAATACTGTGATAACTAGTCAATTTTTTGACTATTGATGACCATATATTGACAGATAAAAATATATAGATATCTAAAATAACTACAATATGACTTGAAAATATTTGTATTTACTCTTGCTGAAAAATATTAACAGATTAATGCCAATGCTATTGTAGTTTATTGTCTGCTTTTGCATTAAAGAAGAGCCTACATTTCATTAAATGGTTGGATGCCATTTTTATCTGACCCAAATTCATAGATTTGCTGAGTTCTCTTTGGATGTATTTGAAGCCCAATTGGAAAACTTCTGATAGTCTGATTTATTTTTAGTGTAGAAACACAATACAATCCTGTAAAAATACTAGTATTGCCAAAATTATGAATATCACTAATTTAGTCTTAATTGTGACCCTCTAACAATGTCACCTTGCTCGTTTCTTCATCTACTTGTATTGTGGTATCATGATTTGAAAATGAAAATTTTAAATCATCATGTTTCTGAAGTCAAACATGTTTTGGAATTGTTCATGTGAAAAAGACTTTTTTCTTCAGTGTTTGCTCCATCCTTTGTCTTGCTTATATGTTATTCTTGAGAAATCAGACGCCAATCTAATCTTATCTTCTTTGTTAATTGATTTGGTCCTTTTGCCTTGAGACGCAAAAGATTTTTTCTTTACCACTAAGTCTATTAATTTTGTATGGTATGTTTTAGAGTTCATAATTTCAGGTAAATTTTCCCAGAAACAATAATGTAATCCTCCAATAGGTTGATTCATGTCTTTTTTTTTTTTTTTTAGTTCTAGAAAGTTTTCTCATAGTTTAAAATTTGTTTTGTTTCATTGTGGACTTTATCAGGGGGTAAATTATATATAAGTTATATCATTATATGTTAATATTTATCAATTTCTATTTTTAGCTTTTTCTTTGTTTTTGGCTGTTTTTGTTCATCTACTTACTATCCTCTAGTCTATTGAACATTCCACTCTTAGGCAAATTGAAATGTCTATATTACTGAGATGACTTTTTTTCTTTTTCTACAATTTCTTTCTTGAGTACAATCATTTTTCATTTTTTTCTTTCTTCTTGGCCATATCCATTTTGAGTTTTGGAATTCTTTTTTTTTTAGTTTTTTTAAATTTTTTTTAAAGATTTTATTTATTTGTGAGAGAGAGAATGAGAGACAGAGAGCATGAGAGGGAGGAGGATCAGAGGGAGAAGCAGACCCCCGCCGAGCAGGGAGCCCGACGTGGGACTCGATCCTGGGACTCCAGGATCATGACCTGAGCCAAAGGCATTTGCTTAACCAACTGAGCCACCCAGGCGCCCGAGTTTTGGAATTCTTAATAGTTATGTCCTCTAGTACCTGCAAATGCTTCTGTGTAGGCATGTTCTGTTAAAATTTTTCAATTTTCTTTTTTTTTTTTTGAGGGGTATTTTTATCAGCATGGAAAAAGGAACTTTCTATTTTATTGACATAGAAAGCTTATATGAATGCCGATCAACTTATGTTCATTTTTAAGTGTATGGATTGTCCTAAAAGAGAAATAACAAATTTTTTTACAGGTGGGATGCTTGAAGAAGAGTCCCTAAAGTGTATTCTGGAAGGGATGGGGGGTTTCTTTATTGTGTCTTTTGATTCTTTAAACACTCCTTTTTTTATAAAACCCACAATTCCCAGAACCGTTTCCTTCTTTTTCTTCTCCTCTAAGCCTCCAAGCAATGTCTTCCCCATGAACTGCTCTCTGATACTACTTTTCTTTTCATGGGAACAGTGCTTTCTAAGATGAAAACCTTCTTGTCTCCCTACTTTCAAATCATTTCATCTCATTTCAGTTCTTCATATCCAGTGTTCTGATCTATCAGGTATCAAACAATTTCTCAGGGTAGACCCACTTTTTTTTATCATGAATTCTAGATTTCTATACATAGATTACACTCTGTTTTTCTTCATAAACTCCTTTTTAAAATATCAGTTCTTTTTTTGGCTTTGAAAAACTTTCTGCTGCTCCTGAATTTTTATTCCCCATTATATATTAATTCAACTTTGTGGTAATATCTTTTTCCTAGATGTGCCTTAGTCATAAATTATGTATTGGAGGACTATTTAATATTTATTATTTAAACAAGGTGTCACAAAATGTGTTCCCCCCAGAGACACACTATTATATAGAATAAGTTTAAAAGAAGGTTATTACAAAGTATGGAAAAGAGGGAAGGAAGGAGAATTTTGCTAAGTGAGAAAATGATGCCGTGGGTGGCCTCAGTCAATTCTATAGGGTATCTGAAGCTAGGATAATCTTTCTGACTTGTCTTATGTTGGAATGACTAGAAAAAAAAGGTAATTTAGGTGTGGATCTCTCTGGGAAATGTGAATGAGCAAGGATAAGGCAGCTCTCTTTAGTCAAGGCCATCCTCTCAGCAGGTCTTATAGTTGAAATCTTTCTGCTACCAGCACTTACAAGTTATGAAAGTTATCACACCCGCTGGGGATCTTGGCAGTGTATCACTGAAACCAACACAGTCTCTTCCTTTCTTTACTTTTTTTTTATTTTTCCATGGATATGCTTTGTATACTTTCTTTTAGTAGCCCTGTCAGGATGCCAGTAGGCCTCTCTGTCTGGGGGAAATTTAAAAAAGACATGCTGGGGCACCTGGGTGGCTCAGTCATTAAGCGTCTGCCTTCAGCTCAGGTCATGATCCCAGGGTTCTGGGATCGAGCCCCACATTGGGCTCCCTGCTCGGCGGGAAGCCTCCCTCTCCCTCTCCCACTCCCCGTGCTTGTGTTCCCTCTCTCTCTGTGTCTCTCTCTGTCAAATAAATAAAAATAAAATCTTAAAAAATAAAATAAAAGAGACATGCTGGTGGGAGAGTACACAGCTTTCACCACTGTACATGGTCTTGGTATAACAACTGATTTGTACTAATTTCCTCCTCCACAAACTGCTAAATTCCTTTTACACTCAAAATGCACATTTAATGTCTCAAGGATTACCTATTGGCATGGCCCAGATCTTCACCTTTTTTTTTTTAAAGGGGGGAGGGGCAGACGGAGAGAGAGCAAGAGAATCTTAAGCAGGTTTCATGCCCATCATGGAGCCCATGATTGGGGTTTGATCTCATAATCCTGAGATCATGACCTGAGCTGAAATCAAGAGATGCTTACTTTACTGAGCCAGTCACCCAGGTGCCCCTACCCAGATTCTCATCTAGAGGATAAAATTTTCATGGATACTTGTTTTGGTGTTGCAGGGTCTTCTTTCCTGAGTCCCAGGTTGTTCTACTACCAATGAGTTTAGTGTCTTACAACTGGTTAAAGTCCAAAAAGTGGGAAAGGAATTTTATATTAAGTTAGCTGTTCCAAATCTCTGGACTATTCATCTCTTATTTTACCTAAATTCAAAAATAGTACTGTTGGGTAAACATCAGCTAGCTTCTAGGAGCACTGTGTTATTTTAACTAGCCACAACACTTTGTGGATCAAACTTCTTCTGAATTTACTACACATTCTGGCTTATGACAGGTAAGTGCTGCAACTATAAATGCTTTTGATTTGGGAAAAGGAGAGGGAAGGATCCTTAAATCCCAATCACGACCAGTCCATCCTAGTTTTAAGATGACATCACTTATACTCAGCCTGGAATAGCAGAGAGACAACACTAATCTTAGTGCTGGTGGTGCCCCTTTCACTAAAACATTCATTATAGCTTTGGTAAATGGTATATCCTCTAAATTCTATGGAACATAGGAAAGAACATGGGAATATAGAACATGAGAAAAAAATTTCTCCCACAGAAAGGGGTCTTCCTTTTTCAGCCTTATATAAACTAATCTAGGATCCCCACTTTTCCAACCCATTTGATATATCTTTCCCCTGCTTGCCATGGAATTTTAACATTTCTTCCTCACTTACTATGTGCCATTACTTTGTTCATGCTTCCAGGCGCATGTTAGTGTGTTTGTACCATTTTAGCAGAACATTATTTCCTATATCCCAGAAGACTGTGCCGACATCATAAACCTACTCTTGTCCAATTTTATATTTTGCCTTTCTTATCAAGTACTCTCAGAATCCAGTCACATGTATATACATTCTCCCATAATTAGCTAGTTAATGGGAGCTGGGTTCTGTAGGTCCATTGGGGCATAATTCTTTTTTTTTTTTTTTTCCCCTTATCAGTCCAGAACAAACTCTGGTAGGTTATATTGTACTGTAACCCTAGCCTATAGCATAGGAGTTAAGAAAGTACATGGAGAAGATCCTAGAGGGGATTTCCTTGCAACATAGTGGCATATGTATTGCCTTAAGGAAGGGGGTGTGCTAACTTTTAATAGGGAGGAGCGGGCGACTTCTGTAGGTTCAGGGAGTTCATGGAAGTCTATATATTCCAAGATTTTGTGAACAACAACCTGGGCTTAGCAGACCTAGTTTGTATTGGAGTTCTTTTTTCTTTGGAGCCTGACTACTCTTGCAAGTAAGTCCTTGGCCTGGTCCTCAGCTTTCTCTGCCTTTCTCTCATTGCAAGAGATCAGAGCTTCTCTGATGAGGCCCTCTAGGTTCACAGCTTGATTTTAATTGCCAATTGTTCATTTCAGTTTTTAGCTATTTTTATCAAAAACACTGATAGTAATAACCACTTAATTCCATTGGACCAGATAAAGAATTCCTTTCCACCAGTATAGCATGCCAGCACACCATTGGTAAAAGACTTTACATTTGCACAGCTACTCTTGTTCCAGAGTTATCTGTTCAAGACCTACCATCAGTGATGCAGTACTCATTGCAGGCTTTTCGGTAGGTCATTTCACTTTAAAATGCCAATCCATTATCTGCTTTTGGGGCCATTCCTGGTGGCATCTATTGTTGGTTCAGTTTTCTGGGATGCAGATGCTGAAATGGAGTTTAGCATTCAGGAAGTTCCTTAGAGAGTGATTTTATGAATGGGAAAAAAATAAGTCATGTTTTGGGGGGAAATTGAGAGTCATACAATTTCAAGGCAAGTTTCAGATGAACCTCAGGGGTATTCTACAGCTAGGATGAACAATCAATGTTATTCTGAGTGATTTAGGAACCTAAATCATGTTGATCAAATATTGGATTAAGCCTACACTGAAGAATGAGTGTGACCTTGGGTAAGGTTTCTCCCTTCTGCCAGACAATCTTTATAGAGGGTGCTGAGGGTTGAAAGTTTTCTGCCAGGAGTTATCCCTGAAGCTGTGGAATAAACTTTTATACCTGAAGAAGATTCTGTGTGGTGCAGCATTGTAATGTAAAAAATCTTCTGAAGTTTATTTAATAGAAGCTCTGTTATTAATAGTAATTATAGCTTGAGAAAGCATTTCATGGGATTGTAAGTATTAAATTAGTAACATCTAGACTTACACCTTAAAATTAACAGTAAATAGATACATGAGACAGTACCTATATACATATATTTTTTCTGGATCCTAAGACATATTGGTTATTAAATCTACAAACTAGAAGAAATGTGTATTTGTGGATCCCTGAACATTTCCACCACCACTAGAGGCTGAACAGTCATAAACTTGGTTTAATCCAGATTATTTTGTGTGCATCTTCCACCTCTGAAATTCAGTTTCTATAACGTGGATAGTAGGTTCCTAAATCACTTTTCTTTTGATGAATATATGGACATTACACAAAGGAACTTGCATGTAAGTTATCAAGAGAATCTGTAATATTAAATGGTATGTTTTTATCCTTCTGTTGAAATGAGCAGTACATGAAATCTGCACAGTACCTAATATATTTTTTACTTTGATAGTTTAACAATAGTTACAATTCTGAAAACAAGATACTGACATTTCATTATGACTTTAGAATTATAACTAAAAGAGATTAGTTGATGTGTTATTTGATTAAACTTGCTATGGAGAATAAACAGTAATTTATAATTCATATTTACTTTTATAAATGTCATTGCTCAAAGTTCAACTTGAAATCATTATGAATTTGTTATCTAAAATATTTCTTGAAAGAAATTAAAAGGCAAAAAAAATCACAAAAATCAAGTGACAATATGCTAAGTATAATGAAAACTGTAAATAACAATCCTGAATGCTGAGCAGAAATAATTTATGTGGTATTTCTGAATATTAACTATGCTGATATTCACTGTAATCCTCTTATGAGAGATTTTCACACTTTCCTAATATAAATGACATCCTTATAAAATTCCCTTTGGATTTTCACTAATTAAATAGAAAGGAATGTTTGAAGTATTTAATAATCTCAACCAAATAATCTTCTTTGACACTAAAAGAGAAGAAGCTTGCAATTGTTAAAGCACATTTACTGACTTCAGTATACAATTCAGCTGCATCTATTATGCAAAATAACATTTATATATTGAATTTTAAAGAACTGATCATCATGGTGTAGTCTGTAATTTATAGCAACATAACTATAGACACAGAAAATGACAGGTATTCTGTTTGAGTCAAAAGGTCATAACATTTGAAACAAATTCTAAGCAATTTGGGAAATAGGTTTCTATAAATATATGATGACATTTTATGTTGTATAAGTTATTCTAGGGAATTTAGAATCATACAAGACATATATGATTAAATTTGCACTATGTAGCATCATTGATAGTTTACTCTTCTTTCTAAAAGGAATTAATGCCTGTTTTCCAAGTCCAAATTATAACCCCTTCACATGGATGTTTTTCCTGGTTTCATGTCCTAACTACACCTACGAGGTATGCTATTTATGTATGTAAATAATTAAACTTTATTCTGATACTCTAAATGCATATGTTTATGTATTTACATATATTAAAGTTTAATATATATGATTATAGACAGATTTTATCGGTAGATCTGTATATCAGAGATATAAATTATGGTATATTATTTCATTTCAAGTTATAGGCATAGGAAATTGGAACATTTAACCACAATTTTCCCTACTAAAATATGAATATTTTCATATATATTTATTTTTAAAGAAAATGTCACAATCTTCATATAAAATGTCTTGAGATGTTTCAGGATTCCTTTTTTTATCATCAAAGTTTAGGAACAATATCTTTCACTTTGTTTTATGAATATGATGCTGTTTATGGGATTATGACTGTCATATTTAACAACAAAATTATTATTTGGGTGACATTTATTTCTACCTATAGTTTTTCCACTGTGTTTTAAGCTTTCACATTACCTATATAATATCACAAATTAAAAAAATACTAGATTAATCATAGGTATTTATTAATTTATGTTTTAATCTAACAGATTGGAACATGGATTAGTTTCACAGTCATGACACAAACACTGCCAGGTAAGACTAGGTTATTTGACATTTAAGTAAATGCACCTTTAAGAGAAGTGGTTTCTGAGAACAAGTTTTTATAGTGCTAAAGTTTGGCAGTTTTGCAAAAGGATTTTATGCTTCCATTTTTACTTTTATCTTGGATATTTTTAGCAGTATTAAAAAATAATGAAACAAAAATCTCTAGGTAATTGTGGCTTAATCCAACCTAGAAAATGTAGCTCAAACATATTTATTAGCAGCAAGGATTTGTTAATAGAAGTGGTGATAATAATGCACTTTACTTGAAACACAGACAAACATGTGTATGTGCTGTGTCCTTCAAGTGTCCATGATGTCTCTGAAGGGAAGGCTGGGAGCATGAGTGTGTAATCTTAAATGGTGGGCATTTTAACACACATAAGAGAGTTAAATTGAAATGAACTGTATGTATTGGAAAGGGTTTGTATTACATCCATTTCATCCATTATTTGTTCCACTGTATAAAATTTTTGAATCATAATTAACGTGGTTTGCCATATGCATGTGTGTGTAGATGTATATTATATACATACAGTAAACTACTATTGAAAAATTCAGAAAGATAAAAATTCCTTATTTGGAAATACTTTGTGGCAGTGGGATATAAAAAAATGTAGATTTATTTTGACTTCTGCTGTGTACTTTCTATGTTTATTCAACCACATGTTGAATATATATTATGCTAGGCAATTAATATGAGTAAAGAAAATTGATATAGAAGTATGCAACACTTGAGAAATATTTTAAGAGCTAAATAGGTTCTTTTTCTAATAGAACTTGCTATATCTATCATAGAAATAAGAAAGGATAATTCTTTCTTTTTTTTTTTTTCTAGTTGGGATTTTTACGCTTCTGATGAGTATCCAGATGTCTCTGTGGGCACAAAAGAAACATAAGATTTATTTGAAGAAATTCAATTCTTATGTGCATAGAAAATCAGCAATGATTCCATTCATACTGTAGGAAAAAATATATAGAAGAAAATTATATAAGCTCAATAAATCAGACTTGGGCAATTTTTACTATAATGCAACAGAATTTCAAAAACTACAGTACTTTTACCAAGTATAAATATTAAATGGTATCATCTAGCTAGATTTAAAGGAATAAACCTGAGACAAATAAAAAGTAGAAACCATAAATATGGGACTAATAAAAGATAGTATCCAAGGATTGGTCCTTAAACAAGATTTTCTTACTTCATTAAATATTTCATAATACTATTTGCTTAAGACAATTAAAATACCTGAATTCTAAAGTAAAAAAAAATTGTGACATTTAAGTCACTTGAATTTTACACATTTTGATAGTAATTTATTATTTTCTTTATTCAACATGTTATTGAGAGGTATATTTCAATTTCTTGTGAAAATTCTACCTATATTAAAAGTGAAACGTAATTTCTCATGCCATATTCATTTATTCATACATACATTGTATGTGTGAAACTATACATTCTGAAACTATAACAATTAAAAATATTTTCTAGACATAATTTAATAAATCATTTGAATATATACTGCATATTAACTATATATTTATATCATGTTATATATAAATATATATTGAAATATGTATATTTAAAATTGGTTATATGTGATGACAGAGTACATTGGATATGTTTTGAGATTAAGAGTGGAAATATTTCCTATGTCCTCTCAAAGCGTGTTTGCATATGCGTGTGTATATGAATATGCATCATATATATTTTGACAGGGAGATGACTGATACAAAAATCAAGTACACATTATTTAAATATTTTTATAAAAATCAAGTTTCTTCATTTTTAAATTGGGATTCTTTAGATTGGTTAATTGGTTAATTCTTTAGATTGGTTAATTAGCCTTTCAAATTTCTACATAATATATCAAAATATCCTCATTAAAGCTGTTAGATTATATACATATTTTACAAAATATCCTTGGTAAATGTAGGTATGTATGCATTCTGTGGGAACCTATCATTAATGCATGTGTCAAATTATTCAAAAAATAAAAAAGCACCCTTTTAAAAGCTTTGTTATCATCCCCAAATGTATAGCATTAAAATATCTCAGAGGAAGACAACAACAAACTTTAACTCCCTAATACCTATTCAGCAAAGTAGCATTGAATCATGCAAAAGTCTTTTTTTTTTTTTTTAACATATAATGTATTATTTGTTTCAGGGATACAGGTCTGTGATTCATCAGTCTTATACAATTCACAGCATTCATCATAGTACATACCCTCCCCAGTGTCCATCACCCAGCCACCCCATCCCAACCCCCCCCTCCACTCCAGCAACCCTCAGTCTGTTTCCTGAGATTGAGTCTCTTATGGTTTGTCTCCTTCTATAATTTAATCTTGTTTCATTTTTCCCTCCCTTCCCCTATGATTTCTCTGTCTTGTTTCTCAAATTCCACATAGCAGTGAGATCATATGAAAATTGTCTTTCTCTGATTGACTTATTTCACTTAGCATAGTAACCTCTAGTTCCATCCATGTCGTTGCAAATGGCAAGATTTCATTTTTTGATGGCTGCATAATATTCCATTATATTTACTTACACACACACACACACACACACACATACCACATCTTCTTTATCCATTCATCTGTTGATGGCCATCTAGGCTCATGCAAAAGCCTAATACATTAACCCGCATACACCTAATACATCTATGTAATCAACCACCTGTGATAATTATCTTTGTTGAAAGACAAATAATAGCTATGCATTCTTAACTAGATCCTGACTGATGCCAATCCAGGAAGTTTGCACATTCTTACAGGACTAGAAGCTCTTTGATACAGCAAGGAATGATGGGATACTTATAGGACAAACATTTCTCTTCCCATGGTGCTATATTCCCTCGTATCTATCTCATACCAATCATTTCCTTACAGTTGGGAATCACACCTTGGTTAATGGGTTATGAACTGCTTTTTGAAAATTATTTTTCTCATTTTTATTTCCTGGAAGAATCATTGCCTCAAAAGACAGAACCTGATAAATTTACACATTTTGTTATCAACATTAATGTTGCAAATATAACCAATAATCACATGATCAGGTATTTACCCAAAGAATATAAGAACACTAATTCAAGGGGATACATGCATCCTTATGCAGCATTATCTACAATAGCCAAGATTTGGAAGCAGCCCAAGTGTCCATCAGTTGATGAATGGATAAAATGGATAAAGAATATAGATATAGATACACACACACACACATACACACACACTGGCATAATATTCAGCCATAAAAAAGAATGACATGCCTAGAGCTTAAGAGTATCATGCTAAGTGAAAAGAGTCAGAGAAAGACAAATACCATAGGATTTCATTCCTATGTGGAATTTAAGAAACAAAGCAAATAAGCAAAGGGAAAGACAACCATCTGACGCTTACGGGGGCCAGGCTGGGTTAAACAGGTGACGAGGATTAAGGAGTGCACTTGTCATGATGAGTATATGGAAATGTTGAATTACTATATTGTACTCTTGAAACTAATATAACACTGTAACTAACTGGAATTAAATAAAAACTTAAATAAAGCTAAACAAAATAAAATACTTGAGCTTCCCTTTTTATTATCCTAGGATTTCAAAGCAGGCTATAGGATCTGTCCTTAATGGACAAGAACAATAATTATTCTAAGTGAATCAGCAATTCAGCAGTCACATTGTTGTTCCTAAAATGCTCTCAAAGGTGAGTGGATATGATGTCTCAGCAAAAAGGATACTGTACAAGTGAGATGTTCAAACAGCTTAGTTTACTTGGAGAAAAACTGAATATAAAATATCTTCTGTAGCGACACAATGTCTGTGCCTTTTATTTCTATATTTGGCAAATGGAAACATGCAAAATCAGTATTTCTTCTCCATTAACTGACATAGCAATATAGAACAAACTACTGGCCCTTCATGATTAATAAAAACAGCATAAAAATAGCGGGCTAAGTTGTATTTTCATGAACATTCCAAATATGATCTCCAAATATCATCTAATTTCTGATTTTAAACATCTAAAGGCATTATTAAGTTTTCTTTATGTTTTTGTTCTTTTATTCACTGGGCTGCATGGATAAAAAGGAATGGACATTACTTCAAGCTGTAAATGCCTGTTCAAACTATGGACCTGGGAATCTGATTCACATGCTCAATCTTCTCTCAGGCCATTTGTCTGTTATTAATATCTTAAAATTGCTCTTCATTTCTATCATTTTTGCAGAGTATACCATTTATAAAAATAAAACCCCTAAAGTTTTAAAAATACAAATATATCATTGGTGGTTATAGATCTATAAATTCATGTCCAATGATATCTTCATAGATTGATTTATTTGATGTTCTATAACTCCCTTCTACACATCTAGGGTCTTTAGGAGGATGAGTCAGTTTAAGGGTCCTTAGGAGGATGAAACTATGCAAAGTAGAAAAGACCAGGTTAGGAAATGAGTTCCACACAACGTGTCCCTCCATTAACATAGAACTTACTATGTCTTCACAAATAAGGGCCCCATTCCCAACAAAGGCTGGAAATAAACTTAGTCAGGAGTGCAAAAATATAATCACAGATTTCAGCCTCAATCATCCAAATCATTTAATGCAATAATTATTATGATCCCTGCGAAGCTATAGCTTTGCACCTTCCATTTCGAGTTTTTAAGAATGGTAGCCAATAATATATTTCAATTTCATGAGTGTAATTAATCATATGAGAGTAAATAAATAAACATCAGAATTTTCTGATTGATACTGGATTTGTGATTACATATAATATTAAAATATAGTTCATTTAATCTAATAATTACTCTAATAGTTACTTTTTTGAATCATTGTCTGGAAGAATACTTTCTTTAATCCCACATAAAAATTTGCAAACAGTGTTTTGAAAATACCACATCTTCATCTCTCACTCATTTCTTATAAAAAGTAGCTGCAGAAAGAAAAGAAAAACAACAAAAGTTAAGTCAGCTGCTATACCACCCTAAATTATCACAGCATACTGCTTCTGCTCTCCACCCCTTCATCATGTCTACCTCAAGCAGCTATTTTATAGGCGTTTTTGATTTGTTTGCATGTGTTTAAAAAAAATGTTTTGCCTCCAATTTTGAATAAATATAGACCTGTAGTGCATTTTGCCTTTAAGTAAGTTTTGTGGAAACAAAAGTTATTTCTGACTCATACACAGACACACACAAGCACACATACAGCAATTTTAAGCATTATCATTTCTTAAGAAAAATATTTTGGGTCAAATAACTTTTAAATAAATAAAGCATATTCTTATTTTTTAAATGGGCATGTTTTATCTTCTCTTTAGAAATGTTATGTTTAATATCTAAGCATAATCAAATCAGAAAATTCAACATTATAGCTGAATATCTTGTATATTTACCTTTAATCTTCAGTAACTAAGCATATTTTCAAGGTATTTTAAGTTTAATTTTAAGTAACTGGCATTCAGTATATGGTAAGTTTTAGCAGTTGATGTATTTCAATTAAAACATTTGTTCTCATAAAATAAAATAAAATGACCTGTGAATTGATAATGAATGTTCTTTCCACTTTTTTTAGTAAAAAAGAAAAGAAAACCTTTATGTTGCTCCTGGATATTAAAGGTGATTATAGCAAATGTTACTTTATAAGCACAATTATGGGCATTTATGCAGCTTTTGCATAATGATAATAATTAAAAATCATTTATTTTAAAGGCTGCTTAAAAGTTAATTTTCACCCAGGTGCATATTGAAGCCTATAATTAGCCTTCCTTTAGAGGAGGTTTGGTTGAGGAAATGCATAAAAGCATTTCCAGAGGCAGAAGTTTCCTGCTAAAATGAGATTTTGGTTTTTAACTTTAGCTTGATAACGGTGCTCAAGATATGTGAGAAAAAAAATGCTCAGAAATATTTAAAAAAATGAATCCATAATCATCATAGATAGATTTTATTGAGAAGACATATTTACATACACT